CTTGAATTTTTTATGCTTAAAAATATTCATTTTTATTTGATATATATATGTAAATAATAAATGAATGTTCCATTAGTGAAATTCCATTTTGAAAATTATTAATGTCACCATTATTACTTTCTCATTTAAATCAAACATTTTGTGAATTTTTATGCCTAAAATGTTCTTTTTTTTTTTTTTTGTTTGATATATATTTTTGTGCATTTATTTTTTACATATTTTGTTTAAAGGAAAACAATTAATAAATGGCATCAATGATAAATGTTAATGATATTGATAATGAAATGACATCATTGATAATTGATAATGATATATAATGATATTTTTGATTTGACAATATTCATTGATGATTTTATTTTTTAAATTAAGTTTATTTCTTTAATAACATTAATTATCATCATATTCTTCTTTTTTTTTTTTAAATGTTTTCTGTGTATATGTCACTTTAATTTTGTTTAAAAAAAATGGTATTGATAAGCGTAGTATGACGTCATTGGTAATGATATCATTTTAATCAACAGCATTTGATGATGATTTTATTTTTAAATCAAGTTTATTTCTTTAGTAACATTAAATATCATCATATTTTCTTTCTTTTTAAAAGTTCCCTATGCGTATGTCTCTTTAATTTTGTTCAAAGAAATGATAAGTGATATGTCATCACTGATAATGACATCATTTTAATCAACAGCATTCACTGATGATTTTATTTGTAAATCAAGTTTATTTCTTCAACAACATTAGATATTATCATATTTTCTTTCCTTTTAAAAGTTCCCTGTTTATATGTCACTTTAATTTTGTTCAATGATAAGTGATATGATGTCATTGATAATGGCATCATTTTAATCAGCAATATTCACTGGTGATTTTGTTTTTAAATCAAGTTTATTACTTCAATAACATTAGATATTATCGTATTTTCCTCAGTAAAAAAAAATTTTTTTTTTTTTTTCACATCCATATGTTATCATCTTATGCAAACAAATGCAATTCCTATGTGACGTCAATGACATTGACGTCATTGTAATTAACAACATCATTATTTCAATCGTAGGATGTCACCATTTCAATCGTAGATCAATTACAAGAAATGTTCTTCACCAAAAGATTTTTATATTTAGTTATGAAACGATTTCCTGATTACATGTTAGATGTAACTTTTTTTTTTAGTCATATCTTTGAAATTTCAAAATCTTAATTTCTAGATACTTTAAAATTTTATCATCTCAAAATATCAAATTTTTTATCTTCACGTGAAGTTAATGAGTCAATTATTTAGCGGAAAAAATTTCGAAAATAATTTTCATCCGTTTTGAATTTCAATTTTTTCTTTTATCGCATTCAAATTTATTCACTCATCTTCAAATTAATACATTCCTAATTTTCATTTCAATCATTTAATTAATAGGTATTCATAAAATTTCTTACCAAGAAAAAAAATGATGCTACTAATGGTTGTTTGATTTTGAAGCTTTTTTTGTTTTTTTTTTTCTAATCTGAACAAATTATTGGAAATTTTCAAAATTACTAATTATTTTTTCTATTTCTCTTTAACGATACGGATATATTATCGTGAATTTCATCCCAAATTTTATCCCGATTTATCCCGATGATTACATATTTATTGATTACTTCCTAATTTAAATTCAAACCATCAGATTATCAGTGTTAGTACGATGAAGAAGGAAGTCATTTTATATTGAACTAACAATCAAGGAAACAGTTAAAGGTCATTTTATATTGACCTTTGATTGTTAGTTATAATATTAAATGGATAGGAAAAGAATCAAAAAAATTATGCAAAAAGTTAAGATTGAAAAAATGAGAAAAAACAAAGATTAGAAAAATTATACAAAAAAGTTTTAACCTTTAAAAGATTTATTTTATCGTATCAATTAAAATACTAAAAGTTATTTGCCAAAATGTTAACTTATTTACTATAATGGTTAATAAAGTATCAAATATTCATATATGATCATTGATAAATTTTATAACTCGATTGATAACAATATTTAACAAATTAGAATGATTGTTCTAAAATTTGTCACATCCATTAGCTATTTATTGTTCTATTAAATAAGACAATATTTGAAACAATTTTTCCTTATCAGTAACAATATTATCACTATCATTGATAACATTTACAATATCTCAGATTAATCATATATGCATAGAGTTTTCTTTTTTTTTTTAATTGGAAAATTTTGACGAAATGAAACATTTTTTATTTGAAAATTATTACTGTAAAGTGTAAATTAGCAAAGAAAGATAAAAAGAAATCAATGAAATAATTGTATACTATGTTATTAGGATATTTACTTTAGACATTCTAAGAGAAAAGACAACAATTATATGACAGATGTCAATCTTGTCAACATAACCATTATGACAAATGTCATTCTTGTCAATTCCCCTGTCATATTATTGTTCATTTCCTTCCATTCATTTTATTGTAAGAAATAATATCCGTATGAGAATTTATGAGTAATAAAATATTTGAATAATAATATACAATTCTTTCTGCTACATATTTTCTTATTTCATTGTTTCAATTTAAAATGCATTAATTATTTAATTCTTTTCATGTTTCTTTTTTTTTTTATTGAATTTAAAATTTTTTTTTCTTTTTTTTTGTATGTGTGTGAATGATTGTTAAATGAAATAAATTAGCTATAAAAAAGGATTATTTTTAAAATTTAATAAAAAATTTTCAGATATTATTCCTCCATTCGATTATTTTCAAAAAAATATTTGTCTGTGGAAGAAAAAAAGGAAAAGGAAAAGGAAAAGGAAAATCGACAAAATAGAAAAAAAAAAATATGCCAGAAAATAAAAAAGCATTGAAAATAACACATGTGATATTTGATTTGGATGGATTATTAATTGATACAGAGCCAACATATACGGAATCGCATACATTTGCAATGAAACATTATGGGAAAAATTTTACACTTGATTTAAAATCCATTACAATGGGTATGACACATGATCCAGCGATTAAAATGCTACTTGATAAGGTTTTTTTTTATCTTTCATTTATTCATTTTCTCTTTTTTTTTTTATTCTCTTTAATTTTAAATAAAATTTTCAATTTTATCATATTAAAAATGAATTAATTTAAAATACTTTATATTCAAATAAAGTTTACTTTCATTTTAACAATAATAAATTTCAATCATATTTTAATTTTAAATTTTATCATATCAAAAATTAATTAATTTTTATATTACTAATGTTTGTTTCGTAGTCAAGAATTTTTCATCATATTAATATTGCTTTCGTAGTTTAATTTTAAACAAATTTTAAATTTTTATCATAACAGGAATTTATTGATTTAAAATACTATTCGATATGATTTTGCTTTTAATCATTTTTAAACAAATTTTGAATTTTTTCATATTAAAAATATATTAATTTATATTAATTACTATGTTTATTTCTTATTTCAAATTTTTAAGGTTGGCTTAACTGATAAAGTGACCGTAAAAGAGTATGATAATTTTTATCATCCAATACTTCTCGAGAAATTACCACAATGTCCAAAAAATGCCTGGAGCATTACGATTAGTGCGACATTTTCATTCTCACAATATACCGATGGCAATATGTTCTGGTTCAAGTAGTAATTCATTTAAATTTAAAACAATGAATCACAAAGATCTAATCGATTTGATACCTCTACAGGTGTGCTATTTTTTTTTTAAATATATTTCAGGAAAAAAAAATCCGGTTTTATATTATGAATATTTAGTCTTGCACTAATCTCAAAATCTAATGCATATTTATTACGGAAATAATTCTCTCTACTAACGGTTTTTCAAGTAAAAACCACCGGTCAAACTAATTGCATTAATTTTTGTTCTCTTACGGAACAACCTTTCGTTTCTAATTTTTTACCGGAAAAAGTAATCGGATAATTCATTTATTCATGTCTAATTCATCTTTATAATATGCAAAATTTCTTTTATTCATTTTCGTGTTTACAGAATAAAAAATGATTTAGAGGCGGTTTAACATTATAGCATATGTCAGGGGGTACCGCGGGAAAAAGGTGGGATGCGGGGTGTAATAGATGGGTTTTTCTTGTGTAATAAATGATTTTACAAAAATATCAATCCAAGTTTCAGTATTCAAATTATTCATTCACCAAACACCTGTTATAATCATTTGGGTTTTAGGTGAAATGTAGTAGCGATCCGGAAATAAAAGAAGGTAAACCATCACCGGAAGCATATCTTGTAACAATGCAACGATTCCGGAATCCACCAGTAGCACCCAGTAATGTTTTGGTTTTCGAGGATGCTCCAAATGGTGTTCTGGCTGCTATTCGTGCTGGCATGAATGTTATTATGGTACCTGATTTGAGATATGCAAAAGTACCTGATGAAGGAAAGGAGCAAGTTGTGGAAGTGCTAAAAAGTTTGGAAGATTTTAGGCCAGAATCAGTGGGCTTACCAGCCTTTGGCCAAAATCAATAAGCTTATTAGCCGTCAGGAATAATTAATAGGCTTATTAGCCATCATACTATGATGATGAATTTTGTATTTACTTCAAATTATTTTCTTTTGAGAATTTTCCATGTTTATCACTGTACACAATATGGCTGGTATTGAAATTATAATAAAGATGAAATTTATGAAAACTTTATCACACATATAACTTCTTATCATCTACTTATCAACATTCCCTGATTTCAAAAATATATCAATGATTAAAATTAGAAATGAACAAACGACAATGACAATACTCATCTATAAGAGTATAAGTGCTAGCTAAAAGTAGTTATAGTTATGCTTTTGTTAAATACTCATCTGCTCCTTTCAAATATGATTAAAAATGACATCTGAGACATTTCATGACAGCATTGAATGTCAACGAATCTTTTAATAATATGTGGAAAAAAGCAGTAAAGGGATAATTCGTCAATTGTCGCTCCAAACAAATGCATAAATTCTCATATATGATTTTTATGGAATTAAAATACATTTTTTGGGTAATTAAAATTTTTAAAATTCAAATAATTATACAGTTAAGTGTTATTTTCCAGCGAATTTGTCGTACATATTTATTTATAAAGTCCAATGATTTTTCCACTGATCGAAAAATTAATTGAAGGAAGGAAATAAAACGGAAAATGTGAATTTGAAACGTTTTATCGACTTTTTTTTTCATCGATTATTATTTATTTTTTTTTTTGAAATCATACATTATGGACAAGACAAGTTTGCACAATTAGATGAATAATTAAATACGGTAATATGCTGTGAAAGTTTTATTAACATTACTTTTTACCTACCCAAAAAATGAGGTTTTTACCTATCTGAAGAACAAGAAATGCAGAAATTGCAATTTAACAAGAAGTTATAATAAATAATTCTCTTCCAATTAACCTAATTCCAAGCCTGTTCCAGTATTTGCCTTTATAAGCATCTTTCTTCCATGAATTTCCTCACAGCAACCTGAACAGAAGATCTCTTCTACAAGCATTCAGTAAGTTTCGCAATTAATTATCAAAAAAAAATTAAAAAAAATTTTAATTTATTTATCTGTTCGATAATTATCTAATCAATCTCTTTGATCATCTATTCGATACAATGCATTATCTATATTGTAGTGATGGTATCACTACGGTTTGCTACAATACTATTGTTTGCTCTGTTGGCATTATCGATGACAGCATTTGGCATGCGACAGCGTGGTTGGATTAGTCAACGTAAACAATATCAACGTCCTAAACAGGTTCAACGACCTTATAAATCATCTCGTCAACAATCTCGTCCATTTTACGGTCGTCATTACAGAGGATGAAAATTGGATTGTAATATTTCCAGAATATCCATTTATTTCACTGATATCTTCCAGTTTATCCTAATAAATTTATAGTTCCTGGTAAATCAATTTTCAATGAATGATACTTTTTGATAGTATTACTAAATTCCTGATACATAGATATCAACTTTAATGTTTTAATGAAATTTAAGAAATTCTGAAATAAAAGATAAAATTAAATATCAAAATAAATCAATAAAATGAATAAATTCGAAATTAAAAATCTTCTTGGTTCTATTTATATAATAAAAATCATAAAGGTTTTCTTCTTGTGTAAAATTTAAATGAAAATTAAAGTTTTAATGGAATTAAGTTTGAAAGGAGGAAATTTCATTAAATGATTTGTTTAGTATTTCGGTAAAAATTTTTTGCTCAATATAAACAAATTCATATGACTTGTATGTAATCAAACAGGTATAAAATGGATAAGTAGTAAACAAAAAAAAAAAAAAAGGAAAACAATGAGTAAACAAAGTAGTGAAACTAATCCAAATCAACAAAAGTAACGAAAACTGAATAAATACGCAACTATTTTAATGTCTTTGACATGAAATACATTCTACTAATTTACCAATTAATTTAGTTTAATCTGAATTTTGTAAACTTCGTGATAATATTTTATCAATGTTTATTCTTAGTATGTTATATTTTAATCAAAAAAAAAACACATTCGATTCATTTGGTAATATATATTTAGGACGGGAAGCTGGCTGTAACCTGAAAGATCTACTGGAAGTTTCAATATGCATAACTGATATCAAAAGATTTCTCAGAACATCCAGAGAACTACTGTAGATCTTCTAAGAGATTTACTGGTATTATGCATATTGTTGACTTTTATAATCAGATACTTACTCGCCAATCCTTGTAATAATATCAATTTGAAAGTTTGATTTACAATCAATTTGTTCCCTCAAACACAACGTGATTTCACGGGATAACTTGTGATATTACAAATTGAATTAAAATGAAATTAAATCTTTATCGGATCCCTGTTGCATTCTTCATTTTCATCAATAATTTTTCACTGATAAGATTGTCTTTTTATAAGATATTTAAATTTGGATATTAAATTTCAGAAAAAGGCATCCTTCTTTCATTTTCACATTCACAAAATAGTTCCGTTCACAAAATCGTCTATTATTCAATGCGTTAAATTAATTATTTGGAACTCAGCACTTATAAACTATTAAAGATTACTGATATAAAGAATGATTGTATTATTGAATTTCTGATTAAATTAAAGTGTTTTTAAATATCGCAAGAAAAACGCAAAATATCAATCCAAAATTCGAATCATTTCATATTTCTTCTCATTTGAAAGTAGTTTTTAATTTGACTATCATTCAATTTACCAC